GGTTTTAAAATAAATATTATTTAACGTTTCGCTTCCATTTCGTATAAAATGAAAAATGGATGATCAGGAGAATTATAAATCTATACTAATATTATAAATGTGAAAGTTTGGCACAGAGATAGATTATAGTCTGGAATAACACATAGGCTACTTTTTATCCCAGAAAAATGGGCAGTTCCCGTGGGATAGGTTTGTTTTTGTTTTCCTAGAGGCGAACCCAAGCGAAGCGAGGGTGAGCTGCTAGTTTTAAAATATGAGTAATTTCTTTTGCAAGTTAGTTTATTCTACAATACATTTTATCCTTTGTGTGATTACTAATCTTCATCATACTACCCGTTAAAACGTCTAGGTACCGTAGGACGAACCCGAGAGAAGCGAGGGAGTGTCCGTAGTTAGTATATATTATACGTAAAGACATAACAGTTCAATACCTTCTTTTCCTCTTTTTGTCAACCGATTTTCTTTTTTTTGTGTTTAGTTAGTTTTAGCTATTGACAAGCTTTGGTGTATATCACTAAAAAAAATCGGAAACAGTAAATTTTTTTACTATATAAACAGATAAATTATATACATAATTTTTTATTAATGGTATTTCGACAACTAGGCGAAAACTAAATCATATTATTTTACGATTTCTTTCCAGATAGACGTTATTTTGTAATACTTCATAATAGGTACTTTCATAGATTTACGCGAATATTTGACATTTTAAATAAAACTCTCTTTTCTGTTTTTTAGAGGATTTATTTTAATTTTTAGTTACTGAATAAACTGAAAATGACTCTTTGTATCAAAAGTTAAATAAAGTAAATATTGATTTTATATAACCCTTAATTACTGAGATGACATTTATTGACTTCTAAGCCCAACCCCTCACTCAAGCCTTGACAAAAGCGCCTTACTGTCGTCTTAGTGGCTTTGCTTTTTTCAATGTCCTATGGGTGGGACCCATAACTAGAATAAAAAGTATAAATTTATTATCTATATACTTCTACTTTTAAAGAAAAATCAATAAAATAAATTTTAATCATCTGAAGAATTTTTTCCAAGAACATTCTTCAATATGAGAATAAAGTAATCATTTAATATTAAAAATTGTTGAAGAGGCTTCTCAAACTTTTTATGAGGCAGCTACGAAATTTGTCAAAGTTTAAAACTTTTACAACACTTGTAAGAGTTTCTACATACAAATACGTTTCATGGGTAATGTTTTATGAAAGATTTTAGATTTCATAATCTTTTTGATAGTCACATTAAAATAATACTTTGTTATAAGTTTTCTTTTGTGTTATATTGTGTAGTGTTGCAATTAATTTATCTAATTTTAGTTCCCATTTTTTGTGTGAAAATTGTATATTGTTTTTTCTAAAGACTCAAAAAACACATACAATTATTTAAAAGTAATAATTTATTTTGAAATTAAAATTATTTTAATTCAATTTTCAACTATTAGATGGATTATTTCAAAAGCCAATTTCACACACCATTATTAAAATTAACGAAACCGGTTCGTCGTCCCATTCACTGGCTTGGAGTGCAATTTTTCTTTGAATAGCCGGCGGAAATTTAACAAATTGCTCCTTTTTATTATGTGTATATAACATTATAACAATGGAATATATAACATTGGAACAATGCATTTTTTTTGCTTTACTTCAAAAATTTTAAAAGTAATTCTATATACATACATATACATAAGAACAATTAAATTCCTTGTTATAAAATATGCTAGGACATTAACACACAGCACCATCCAGTTCCATGGTAAGCTACGAGACTTGAATTATGGATACCAGATAGTTGATATACTACACATATATAACTTTAAATACATGCCTATTTATTATAAATATAAACAACCATGACTGGAGTACAAAAATTCGTGCACATCACACAAATGAATCCCCCCAGCGGGACTTGAACCCGCGACCGCTGACATGGCTAGTAGGGTCACTACAAACTGAGTCAAACGTGTCGTTATTGCCATGAAAAGAATCAATTTCACTAATTATCCCTAAAAACTAAAACCCTCCATTTGATAGACTTAACACGATACAAATGTATCCACATATAAATTATACTAATAAGTTATATAAAAGAAGAATAAACCATAAGAAATCTTAAGTAATTTCGTATTTATAAAATTACTAGTGGTAAAATTACGAGTATATGTATACATAACGCGAGCCTTTCGCAAAATTGCTAACATGCACAGCATATTTTGTTGTTCCTACAAGAACGTTTTAATTATTATCTACAAAGTAACAGTGAGCATTGTACATACCAACGTAAATTGAAAATTTTCCCTGGCACTGAAATGCAAATAAATTATCTCTCAGTCTTCATATAATCGCTACCCTGTGACATTTTCCAAATTACAAACTTTTTTTACTAACTTTTATATTTTCGAATGTTATCCATCCTTGTCTATTTGAGGCTATAAGTCAAAAGTCATACGAGGCGAATGATTGATGATTTGCTCTGGCAAAGTCGATACCAAAAGTTGAATCTGTCACTATACTTAACTTTAAGGGTTTGAATCCGGCACAGAACAAATATTTATATCGATACATATAATAAAATTCTAATCGAATCGAATCTGTACATTAAATATTTTTTTTGGAAAATCTTAATGAAATAGTCATTATTATAGTCGATACAGAGGGCGAACCTATAGTTTTTCTAAAACCACCGGACAGATTTTGATGAAATTTGGTTTGGTGATAGCTGGTTAGTGGTTGCCCGGGTCAACATATAAGATACTTTTTACAGCGGGAAAATATCTCATCACTGAGAAATCTATACTAAGCGTTAAAAATGTAACCAGGGACACGAACCCGAGCAGAGCGAGGGTGAGTTGCTAGCTTGCAATATAAGAATTTATTATATGTATGTGTAATTAATATACATGTGCTAGTAAAGTCGCGTTATTTCGCTTCTTAGCTAAAACATTATTTTATTATAAAATTTCCAGCTAAATACTTTCAAGAATTCAACAAATATTATCTCAAGTGCAAATTCATCCTTCATAATTTTCGAGGTGAAGACGAAACAAAGTCTACAATTTCGCTAATTATCACGAATACTTTATGAAAACTCCAATTACGAACAGACGGAGCGTTACGTATTCTCTTATCTTGTAGCAAAATGAAGAGAAATTCTCCAAACAATGAGAATTGTTACCGACACAATTAGTAATGTACTTTTTATAGCAGCTGCATGGGACTGCGGAAAATGCAGTGAAATCCCCGCCTTCAACGAAACAGTGAGTGCACTTAATTACGATATATATAGATATTTATTTAGTTTAATACAATATAATATATTAATAGAAAATTGATCTTGTGAGTTTTTCATTTACAGTTAGTTAATAAAATATTTAACAATTACATGATAAATTGAAGTTAATCCCATTATCTTACTAATATTATAAATGTTAAAGTTCAGATGGGCGTTTAGATTTTTGCATGTTTGTTATCCAATCACGCCAGAACGGCTGAACGAATCCGGATGAAATTTTGCAGTTAATAAGAAATTTAGCAGAAATATATTATAGTCTGGAAAAGCACATAGGTCACTTTTTATTCTGGAAAAATGTACATCTCCAATGGGATTGATTTGTTTTTTTTTACTATTGTCAAACCCTAGTGAAGCGATGGTGAGTTGCTAGTAGTTCATATATACAAAATTTTAAGAAAATACCTTCCTTACTAATATATTACATGTATTATTTTCCGCAATGTTTTAAATTCTTAATGAAATTATATTTTATGACTTTAAACTATATCGTAGGGCCTCGAAATCAAACGCCAACCGCCAAATCAAAGGCTATAGACTTTTATGGCTAAAAAACACTTTTTAGCCATAATAGTTATACTATACTATATTGTCGAAAAAATATATTAAAAGCAGTCATGAGGACTGCCGACAGAAGTGAAAACTTAAAACTACGTATAAACAAACAGTTGTTATTTTTGGATATTCAAATTAATTGTTTGATCTTGAATTAAAATTTGTAAATTAAAACTGGTAACTTGTAAACTTTATCTGGTTTTGACATCTATCGGCACTGTGAGTGTTACCGTTAACACGTCACGTGACCATGTCGATGATGACTTACATGAATTTACTTCCCATCCAAACCTTTCTATAGAAGTTTTCACTTCAAAAATATCAAACGCTATATAAAGTCAAGACACGCTCGGTCACTTCATTACGCGCCGTTACAAAATTTATGTTCTCCAGTTGAAACTAGTTTAGCGATCCTAATAAATGAAGATAAATATAAAAATTATACAAAAATGTTAATTTGTCTTTTACATTTTAAGTACAATAAATTCATTAATTATTATAATATAATTGTAAAATTAATGCATGCGTTATTAAAATAATTCTCATCAATATCATACAGAGAATATACAAAAGCAATTACAAATATGCTGCTTATACGTGATATTAAATTGAAATCGCGATAAAAAATTTGTATCCACATTAAATAAATTTTTAATTATTTAACCAAACTTTTAATTTGATTCGAATATTTTAAATATGGACTGTTGCTGTTCATATACCGTATATATGTATAATATTTAACATATCTTCTGAATTTTAAATTTAAATGTAACTTTGAATGGCCGCTTCTCAATAGGATAAAAGTCAAGGAATAATTTTCAATATGAAAGTAAAATCTGAACTACTCATTAATTTTTTCATATAACCATCACGTCAAATTGCATGCTTTATATTTTATCTGCCTAATAACATTAATGCTATTCTAAAATGAGCCCTTACTATCCGACCGAGACTCAAACTCGCTACAAACATCGAAGTCTTAGGTAGGTGACTTTCACGTTGAACGTCTAAAAGACGTTTGCTAAACAATAAACATATGTATGTATGTACTTAACACATTTAAATCAAATTCGGTATTTTGTCGCAAATAACCCTTATTTTATCGTATCTTTAATTAAAATAATTAAAATTGAACCTTTCACACAGAAATGCTGATTCAAATATTGCTCTCCGTGATTGGATATGTCCTGGCTGCACAATCTCACGCCTTTTCCGGTGCGATGGTCGATTTTACAGACCCGAAGGTAATCTGAAATCTTTTTACAGTAACCTTACTTGATGAACTTAGAATCAATTTAAATATAATAATGAAAGTGTATAAAATAGAATAATAAAACACAAAAACCATATAGTAAACGGTTTTTTAAATGAATTACAATTATAATATAATTATAAGAGATTTTTTTTGGATTCCGTATCCATTAGGCAAAAATCAAAACCTCATTTAACCATATTTAACATTTTATTTAAAAGCGACATAATCTTGCTTCGCCTGCTTGTTCGCGTACCTGATTACCTATAACTTTACCTATATAGGTATCACTCCAGGTCATAGTTATCTATATAATAAACATCCAGATCTCTCCATTTCAGCGTGTAGGACAAACATACATACATACTAACTTTTGGGTATATCGTAGTAGTCCATTTCACATTTTATAATTAAAATGATGTATTTAATATTTACAACAGGTTCAAGGACACTTAGACGCACTGGTTCGTATGGCACAATCATGCGTAATTAAAGTGAGAGCTTCACCCAAAGATGTGAGGGCGTACTTCACAAACTCTCCCCCCATTACACGCTCTGGCCAGTGTTTCGCGGCGTGCATGTTAGAACAAAGTGACGTGATAAACCATGGGAAAGTAAGTAAATTTTAATTTTTAACTATGTATTGCCCGTGGTTTTTGCTGTCTATTTTTATTAAATGTACAAACACCAATAATAATTATTTTTATGTATTATTTCATACTCATTCTTAGGAGTGGACTATTACTTGAAAATGTGGTATCACCCTTATAGTAGAAACTCTTCATTAAATAAGAAGCATTAAAATTAATATTCAATTGGCAAAGAGATTGCATAACATACACACAAAACATAAACCTAAATAAAATCCAACCTCCTCTTTTAAAATCTGTCTAAAATGAACCCCGCATTACATGGGAGACCGTAGAACTAGAAGCTCAAACTATCTGTATTTACTCTACATAATTATGTGTACCTAATATATTCGAAAGGAGGGTTCATGTCAGGCAGGCGGCCGGTCGTAAAACTTTTGCCAAATCCTATCAGCAATACGGAAGATGTACTTCGCTGACCCCAAGTGATTGGGAAATGGGCAGGGAGATGATGATGATGATGATCTACCCAATATATGACTCTATCTATTCAACATGCCTGTATCTACAGTACATACTCGTATGTATGTATGTCTATCAAATCTACGCCTGCTTCCATTCTACGTATACTAATCATATTTAAGAATGATATGTAACTTTAATTCAATTCAAACCAATATGCTACCTGATATTATATGCTCAGCTCTATTAAGCGTTATTATAATGTCGTCCTGACCAATTTTGATCACGGGGGCCAATCTCGCTGAGAGTAGCTAACTTACCCAATCCCAGAAATTTTATATTGCACAGATACAATTCATTCAATCTTCAACAGGAGTTATATGAAATCAGGTGCAGGACCAACAGCTTTCCAAATTCAGTTATATATCTAATAAAAGATAAAATAAGATAATTTACTGCAGTATCTACTTTCTATTCGCCATAATGTACTGAGACTTACGAAATTTTAACCCTCTTATCAATAAAACTTTTCAACAAAAGTTTTCAGCGCTTCCTAAATTATGAGTTAGCATGAAATCTTAAAGCACATCAATCATACAAAGAAATGGTCTGAGCTTTCCTTTTCTATATTTTACTTTATCTGTATTAATACGTTCTTAGATTTACGTGAATATGTGACATTTTACATAACTTTTTCGCGGTTTTGATTTTATTTTGATTGACTAATTAGTCACGAAGAGACTAAAGTTTTTTTGTTTCAAAAACCAAAACTAAAACTTAAAACAATTATTTGGAAGAAAAAATGACATCGAAGCTACTATTTTAATTAATGTTTTTTTTTTGGATTTTTAAATAACTTTATTTAAAACTAGCGACTCGCCCTCGCTTCGTTCGGGTTCGTCCCTAGCTTGCTACCTAATACAAACTTTCATCCCTATTTTCACCCCCTTAAGGGATGATTTCCGGGATAAAAAGTACCCTATGTCCTTCCCAGGGCCTCAAACTATTTTCTTACTAAATTTCATCTAAATCGGCTTAATACATTCAGAGATTACTCCCTACAACGTCACAAACTCACAAACTTTACCTTTTTATAATATTAGTATAGATTGATCTAGATATTAAGCTTTTTATTTGATTACTACACTCCTAAGCAACGTCCACAGTGTTTCCTGTCTCTGTTTACCCGGAAACATATATATTCTGTGTAGAAAGACAGTATAAACTATTTCGCTCTGTCTTTAATTAACTTTTTAATTTTCTTCACTTGAACACAATATAACTCCTACTTACTCGATGTTACGTGAACCCTTTATCTAAACCAGACCGGGATAATTGTTTTAATTGGAGTTTTCATACACAACCTGCAGTCTAACTTAGTAAAATACAGTTTTCGCGTATTTTCACTTTATGGTGTTAATTTTAACGCCGTAAGTTACGGGATCGATTATCGCGTACAAGAAAATTAATATTGACTACGTAGATGTCTATTGCCATTTTGGTTACAATGAGAAATTGTGTTGATTACAGCTGTTTAACTCACATCAAAGCACTGTCAAAAATAAAGAGAATAAATTATTGTTGATTTTTTAAAACCCGAGCGGTTTTCGATTAAATTTAAATGGGACTACCTGGAAAGTATACCCTTCGAAACAAAAAAATATATTTCCAAATCGGTTCAGGCGTCTTCGAGTAATCGGTGAACATATATTAAAAAAAAAGATTTCGACGAATTTAGAATCTCCTCCTTTTTTGGAAGTCAGTTATTAAGTAATTTTTTTTTTTCATCTGACAAGCAAAGTAAAGTTTACAAAGTAATACTTTACTTTAAGTAAGTGAATATAAAAAATATGCTAATTGCTATTTTGCTTATAATACTAGTTTTTGCTCGCAGCCCCGCTCGTATGGTAGTCGTTCTATAATATTCAAAATTATTATACATATTACTCGTAATATAATAATTTAGTCTCCTTGTCAAATGCTATCAAAATCTGTTAAGATAACAAATAAACAGACACAAAAAGAGATCTAATAATATATAATAATAATAATACAGGAATCGTACATTTTTCCAGGATAAAAAGTATCCTATGTGCTATTTCAGACTATAATCTATCTCTGTGACTTATCTAGATCCGTTCAGCCGTTTTGGCGTGATTGAGTAGGTACTACAAACATCCAAATATTTAAACTTTCACATTTATTATATTTAAAATTTAAGATGACTTAAACAAATATATTCACACAATATGCAAGTCGATATCGCCAATTGGAACCGATTTTAATGATTTTTTCTTTAAGGAGAATACGTTACATCTCCGTGTTCTCCTATTCCTATATAAATGTAAAAATAAAATTTCACTCTAACGGTGGAAAAATACGTTTACAGGGAAAGTTAGAAGATGATATACCTAACTTGTTTATGAAATTCTAATAAAAATATAATTTTTACAGGTGAACCGAGAACTTCTAGTTCATTTAGCTAGTCTTGTCAACGGAAAGAACTCGCGCGTAGTACGAAAACTTCATAGCATATCTAGGCTTTGTCTTGATAGTATTGAGGGCATGTCTGATAGATGCCAACTTGCATCAACGTATAATGATTGCTTGAACGAAAACATGATTGAATTCGCCTTCCCGTTAGATATAGCTGAAGAAGCTGTGAGAAAAATGCCCTTTCATCTTATTCAGCCTAAGTGAGTAAGTCGTCTGTTGTGATGCGATTTATAGTTATTAATTTTAAGTTAGATATTTAACAGGTCTAATTTTAAATACTTATTCTAGTATTTAGTGTTTAGTAAGTAAATTTTCAAGCTCGAATAAGTATAAACACTAGAAAGTTTATACCCAGCGATGTGAAATTAAGCTGTGGATGATGATGCTAAGTATTGTTAAGTATCTTCAACCAAATAATATCCCATGAGTACTTTTTGAAGTACCATGTTAAGCTTACGGTTCTCTCTGGTTCATAATCTGCCTTTATAAAACAATTAACTTCGCCCATTTAGAACGAAAAGAACGTACAATTTCTCTATCAAATAAATAACACATTTTAGCTTTTTCTTTTTTTTCAACACACGCTTTTTTTTGTTTATTATCTATTGAAGAGCTTTTAGCATTATCAATAAGCAAAATTTCAAAATAGTTATTTTTTTTATACAGACAGGTACAGACAAGACAGTCCAGTGCCTTTTTCCTCCGTTCTACAATCGATTATTTTTTATTTAGTAGCTATTGACAAGCTTTAGTATTATCGATAAAAAAATCGATATTGATCGAATTTCTGCCACCAGCCGAATACTAGTCGTCATAAGTGACTGACTATAAATAAGGATCATAAATCAAATTGATCCGACAGACAACATAAATAAGATGGAAATGGGAAAAAGAGTGTCTCGAAGTTTATATGAACTAAAGCTCGACATAATGGAGCTTCTAAGAAAAGCAACAAAAGAATGGCGACTCAAAGTGCCAGCTTCATCCTGTCCAAATGTACTATCTGGGTCAATTTTTGGGAACGCTAAGTGTCTTGCCATGGAATTTTGATAGCTGTAGACAAAACAAATGATACTCATTTTTATATATTAATCTTTATTTTAATGCTAATATGGTATTTTATCTATAATCGCAAAAAGATTGTTAACGAAAAGATTTATTACTATTTCCACTTTACGATGTAACATGCATATTTAATACAGAAATGCTTATTATTATAGAGTGTTTTAAAATTCTATGCTGGTTGGCGAATAAAATTATTGTCATAAATGCCGTTACTCGGTCTAGAAATGATATTTTGCATTTTAAGCCTTATCATAAAAAACTTACATAATTTTTTTTACACTTAACTCTAAGCCACTAAAGAAAAGAAAAAAAAATACATACAATAAAATAATACATTTAAAAAATCTGTTGTATCGGATTATAATAAATATATGACCAGTTCTTGACAAAAAGATAAAAAAGAGGATTCGAAAGAAATATAAATGAATCTTTAAGTTATTGTTTAAATAAAACTATCTTTTCGGATTTTGTCGCAGATATATTTAAATTTTTGGTTCCCGATGTTTCGAATGCTTTACAATAATCATGGTCACGGGAGAGACTAAGGTTTAGATGACTCAAAAATTATTATATACATATGGAGTTACAGACAATCTTTAATTTAATGTTATAAGCCTAAAAGTGTGTTTTATCTGGGGATATTTCAAAATATATGCAGTAAGGAATGTTTGAATGAATATTTGAATATTTTTAAATCAAAGATGATATACTCAGCCATAACAACGTACTATAATAAATGAGCGCTCTAATAAAATATTTAAACAAAGTATTATTTGTTTTGATAACATTGTAAACATTCTGAGTCAAGTTATTGTAGAAAGAAATCATAATTCTAATAAAGCAAACTGTCGAGAGAGCACTCGTAGAGACCGTAGGCTATTGACATAATTAATATTTTATTTTATTAAAAAAATATATTTACATACAAACTTGTACATACCTTAAAAATGATTTTTAAATTTTATTTAAAAAAAACTAGACTAGACAGACACAGAATAATTTTTATATGCATATAAATTCATAGAAAAAAGCACGCTCAGCTCTTTACTTTTTAAATTATTGCTAAAACCTTGTTCGAACTACAATTACAAAAAATGGTCAAATCAGTCGATAAGAAGTGATGCGATTACATACAAACGAACAGCATTTCATTCATTCAATTTAATTCAATTTTCTTGTTAACGGCTTCAAAGCGTGCCTGCCAGTTGAGCACAGATTACTTCGTCAATATCAAGTAGAATGGAGAAATTTAATTCATAAATTATGTTATTTGTAAGCAATGGCAAATGGTAGGCGAAAGTGTAAATTATTTTTCTATGATTGGATTGTTTTCTTAATACGTTTTGCTTCTTTCGTTTTCCTACATCTTTCTAAGTTACAATATTAATATATGAATTTTGTTAATTTGTTTCAGTTTACCACAAGAAATAAGACAACATCTGTAACTAGCTCTATATGACACTTTTTGTATCTTTGTTACATTTCTATCATAATTTTTTTATTAAAATATATAAATAAATACTTAACTTTTATTTCTAACTTTCCTATAACTGAATAGTAAAAAAAATATTTGTGCCTTGAGAGAATTCTATGAAGATATTTCCAATTTATACAACATCATCAAATATTGGTTGAAGTGCTATGAAAAATCGCGAACGCAGGCAAGTGTTTAATCTACTTAGCTTTTGTAAGTGCACAAAGCTACCCGTCAATCTATCAGACAGCTTCACGCTAAGCGATTTTGGTGACATCCCCTCTTGTTATAGTGAAAGATCCAAGAAAACCCATCTTTTTTCCATGTACCTACTTACCAGATAAAAAGTATGATATATTAAATAAAATATATAAGCAAATATTATATCAAAATTACGTTATCTAATGACAAAAAAATGTGGTCAAAATTTTGGAAAATTACATGCTATGCTACCCTTAATTTTATTTTATTTTATTTTAATTTATTTATTATTTTAAAATAAAACTATCTTTTCAAATTTCCGAAAAAAAAACGAAAAAATAGTCAAATATTCGCTTAAATCTAAGAAAATTGTATAAAAAAACCACCATAATATTATATTATCATTATTTAGATTAGGAATGATTTAATATCTATGTTTTCAATGCATTTTTCATTTCAATTCCTATTTTTCAAATTGCAAGCGTAGCAGAAACATACAATCCAACAAACATATTACTATGAGCACGATGAGATTTGCGACCCTAGTGATTTAGACGAGTGAACACTCAAATACCATACCTAAAAATTGATTTAAAATTGCCATTTTAATATTTATAAACCTTATGAAATGATTTGTGTCGCTCATTTAAAAAAAATGTTACTTTATTGAAAAAAATACAGTAAAAAGTAAGTTTGATATTCGAAAATATAAAATAATTACTTTTTATGATTTTATTAACTAACGAAGTAATTTAAAATGTTGTTTGAATGTATTATTATACTGGATATTTATCCACATGCACATTTGTGCCTAAAAATAATATTTACCCTTGCTTCGCTCACATACATTCGTAGGTACCTACAATAGTCTTAATCCAAGGCAAAGTATATTTGTGCAATATATGTTCAATGTTTTTTGTTCTGTGGCTTATAGGCGTGCCAACTCTGTGCATTATATCTCATCCAAATCTGTTTGGTCATTTCAGCGTGAAGGAATAACAAACATACAAACATATATTACAATACAAGACCGACTATAAACATTATTTACTAAGTACTATAATAAGTTATAGATGAATTTAATTTTTTTTCTATATTTTTCCAATCTTTTAAAAATGCATATAAACCAGTGGTCTTCATTTTTCTCATATATTTTCAATGTATCAAAGGACTTAGCATAAGAATTGTAATAATTCTTTTACTACTGAATTTTCTACTTTATTGTTACAAGCTATACAAGTAATATATGAGCGCAAGCTTACAGAAAAAAAATCGTAAACAACTGAAAACCGTAACATAAAATATGAAAAATTATTTTCCTCTAATATACTTAGTTCGAGAAAATATGGAGGCGGGCAAACAAAAGGCAGTTTATTGCAAGAAGATCAAATATAAAAGATGGTAAATAAGATCTTTTATAGTGGATCATGTTTGAATAGTACGGGAGTTCCAAGCAATTGGAAAAAGGTTACGGAATGATTCATTTCTTTTTGTTTACTTTTGTTGTGTAAAGAAAGCCTTGTACTTAGAAATATATGGGAATGATCGATTTGAAAGTGTTTGTTTTTAACAAACTATCAAAATATTCTAGAAAAAACTTAAATAAGTTACTCTAAAAATACTGAGTTTAATAATGTTATTTGTTTTATTATTATCGATTTTTTTATTATTGGTTGGTACCACCTATTTGTTTTAGTAAATAGACTCTTTTATAAGCAGAACTACATATGCGATTATTTACAATATTATATTATTATTTTTAGCTTATTTGGAACACTAATTGTTATGATTCCTTCTTAATCGTAATTACATATTAAATATACTGTATTTAGTTATTTGTAGATAATCTTTTCTCATTCAATATATCTATACGTTCGAGATCGAATCAGGAATGAGGAGATACGCAGAATATCCAAGCTCAAGTGGCAGTGGGCGGGGCACAACGCTCGCAGAGCACACGGTCGTTGGGGACGCAAAGTTCTCGAGCGGCGGCCACATACCGGAAGGCGAAGCTTGAGCAGGCCTCCCACAAAGTCGCTGGAGCCCACTGGATGCGAATGGCACAAGACCGGTTGTCGTGGAAATCTTTGGGGGAGGCCTATATCCAGTGGACGTGTTTTGGCTGAGACGACGATACGTTGGAGTGCTTGTTAAAGTAAAAGTGCAATTACATAAATAAATAACATAAACCAAAAAGTCCTCAATCTACTGTAATTCACAAACAAAATAGGTAAAGGGCGAGTCCTAATAAAGGAGTCTTTTCCCCTTTAATAGATATCGTAAAGAATTAAGTTTCGGTGTACTAATATTTGATTTTATTTCTATTGAATTATATTTTTATTGTATTTAAATAAAAATATGTTCTTAAATATAGCATTTTTTTTGTATTATTAAACTTGTTTGATATTTTAAGTGTCTTAAACTGGAGTGTTTTGTACATTTTTTCACATTTTTCCCCTTTTTCCGTCGAATCACTTGTTTTTAACCGACTTCCAAAAAAGAAGAGGTTCTCAATTCGTCGGAATCTTTTTTTATGTATCTTCACTGATTATTGGTTTTTATATTTTTTTTCGAAGGGCATACTTCCCAAGTGGTCAAAATTAAATTTTATCGAAATCGGTCAAACGATTCTTTTAAAAAAATCAAAAATTAAAATATTTTTTTAAATAAATTGCTTTATCGAAAATGTTATTAAAAAAACTTTTTTCTTACGAATTACCTGCTTATTACGTCTACACTAAAAATGGAAAAATAAGAACTTAAAAATGCCGACTTCCAGGCACTGAAAAGTTAAAAATAACTAAACGGAGGTTTTCATTTAGAATAGATAACTAATCAGATATTTTTGAAGTCGGTGCCGGCCAATACAAATCAAAGCACAATTCCAAACATAAAGTCACCATATTTTTAATTTCATTTTAGGTATATTATGATATCGTCATTCACTAGAGAATTAAACATTTAATTTTTAATGTGCATCTATTGGCGCGCCTTGATAGTAAAACCAACTCGTGGTGTTACGACTAACAGCGGCGTGACGCTGTCATGCTATCATGCACCACCGCTATTCTACGCCACCGCTCTCAACCCCTATATATATATACTGTAATTATTATTATTATTAAAATAATAAGAAAAATAAATAGATTTTATTAAAGAAACTTTATTTTTTCTTTATTTTACTCCACATTTCGTTATAACTTATTATTAATTTTAACATAGATGTTTCACGTCTGCCGGGCGTCCCGTGACGACTATCTTTCTTATTTTATATGGTTCAAAAATGAGTGAGACAAAAAAAACTATGTACTCTTGATAAAATTTATTATTTTATTTATACTATTATTAGGACGAAGTGCATTTCAGAAGAAATAATTTATAAACACATTTTATTCTGAAAGCGAGTAGTTACTGAGATTTCATAGGTTATAAACAAAAATAATCATTCAAGCATTCGATTGTGTAATTTATATGAGTAAATATAAAATGAATAAAAAATCTCAAAATATATATATTTTCGTAAAGACTTTTATGTGATAGATAAAGAAAAAAAACTAATCTATTCTAAAAGTGCTATAACAACTGAAATTTTCAAACTGTACAAAGTCAGAATCGAACCTTTAGTCTCCGGAGTTGTAACCAGTACACAATACATTTAAGCTTGAGAGCGTGTCAAAGAAATAATCCATGGACGAATTAGAGACTCATGAAATAATCATACATAAGCACAGTCAATCAGAAAATCATTACCTCCCTTTTGGGGAAGCCGGATAAAATAATATATATTTCGAATAATAACAAACAACCCTACCAAAGTGTAAATTTTAATTAATTCTGCTGTACCAAGTTGTTTCAAACACAAAGTAAGCAAATGTTGTTCCATGAAATAATATTACTCATTGATTAATTATCCAACATTGTTTTAATTAACATTTATAATAAGAACAAGTTTAAGCGTGCAATAAAAAGGAACTATTGTATTATTAATACAAATTTTTTTTGTTTTTCTTTAATATATATTATACACATATGTATATAGTTTTATTTTAATATTTCTGCATAAATCATGTTAGTTACGTTTAATTTAAAATAGTGTAAGTTTTAACAATACGTTCTTTTATTGCAAATAAGTATTTTGTTTATCTTTATTATATGTTATTCAATCAAAACTTATTACAGTTTAGTTATCTCGCTGTAATTTTAATATTTATTTATTTAGCTCAGTTTCTATAGTCGAGTATTTATAATAATTAACCTTTTTAACATCCGACTGCTGGGCGTGATCTCCGTTCAGTCTAGACTGTACTGAAATCAGGGCCTCGTCCACCGCGTCGGTTAAGTGCGGGTAGGTGGGTTTTACATATCTTTCGAAAAATAATTCAATCTTATCACACATGTAAGTTTCCTGGCGATGTTTTCCTTCATCTTGTTATCAAGTAAGTGATAATCATGTTGAAAATGATTTGCGCATGAAAATATCAGAGGCACGAGACATGGATAGGAACCCAAGCGTAAAGTGAGCCTGTTACCAATGAGCTATCGCTGCTTTTTACGTACCTATTTAATTTTTATATATTCTATTAAATATCTGATGTAATAGTTTAGGGACATTTTGTATCATAAACTCTCATCCCGTCATAAAAAATCTTTAACAGTAGGCCATAAACTGTAGGGTTTCGATAGATATATGTATAAGTAACATTAATAGTACCTATAGGTTCTGGGTAAGTAATAGGGCAAATAAAACTTTAAAGTTGAATCTGTTCGCACTCCTATGAATGATAAGATAGTGTGTGAAGAATTGATAAGTGAAGTCATCACTTGGATTTAGAAATATTAAAATTACAACTCAGAATTTGTCAATATTTTCTAATATATTACATTCATTAGCCTTTAAATAAAAGTCATCTGATCATATTAATCGTTATACTTATAATAATATTTAGTAAAACCTCAAAATATGTAAAGTTTAAATTTGAGTGACTTGTGTAATCTGTAAATAAGTATGCAATATAGAAAAAGGTCTACAGAAAAAATATATTAAAGTTAATATGTTACCTAATTAAGCACCATCCTGAACATGCCCATAAAAGCAATTCTATTCATATCGTGTTTATATTATAATACATACATAGATACAGCAGCAAACTCGTTACAAATAATCAGAAATCAAAATATCCAATGTGTAATTATATATTCAATTCAGTTTTCTTATTAATTTACTTCACCAATGACATATTTGATCTAACACCCATACATAACTTTGCACTTAGGTCTGTTTTGGTACTTCCGTTTGAAGGAGGCTATGATGGTCTGATAACGCCTGTGGTTGACTCGCTCCGCCCGATTGTGTCTCGAACCGTTTCGTGATATTGCTGCGTGACACAGAAATGCTCCATCCAGCACTACCATACGGTATTCTTGAAGGCACATTTCTAGCATCTACGGATGAAATAGCTTATTATATATCATATTTTACAGGAAAAAAGTTTAGGTGGTTAAAACAGTCTTACAAAAGTATTACATATCCGAGTTAGTACTCGTTTATACTACTACTAGCATTAATCCATTTCGGCAATCTCTCTTCCTATCTTAGCAGAGTCAACAGGAAAAATAATAACTTGATAACTTCATAACACACTGACCTCATATAGACACACACGCACACATGCTCACAATCTCGCACGCACGCACGCACGCACGCATGGACGCACTTACTTTTAATTAGTTATTATTATACTCATGTTTTGTTATTGGCTTCATAAAAAAACCGTTGAAATATAATCTTAGTATTATATTTTTTACCTTAATTACTTATCACCTTAAGCTATAATCTTAAATTAGATAAAAAGGTCCTATGGAAGGTAAGACGTAGACGCGACACAGGGTATCCTAGAGCGTGCGTCTCAGCGCTCCATTGCCCATGTTTTGTTACTCAAAAATATATTAATATTAGATTAAGGAGTATATTTGTATCCATCTTACCATTACTAATTTAATAAATCCTATATCTTTAAACAAGCAATTCTTGTTTTCTTGTTTATAATTGCTATATATATATATATATATATATATATATATATATATATATATATATATATACAAGAATTGCTTGTTTAAAGATATATATAATCTGAATCTCGGAAATGGCTCCAACGGTTTTCATGAAATTTAGCATGCAAGGAGTTTCGGGGGCGATAAATCGATCTAGATTATTCTTATGTCTGGAAAAACGCGCGTTTTCGAGTTTTCATGCAGTTTTTCTACGCACGCAAAATATGGTCGCTAATTTCGTATGCTCGAGCATAAGCATCGTGGTCAAGCGGCCAAGGATGATTATCGTAGGTGTCCGTCCGGGTTTGAATCCCAGTCGTATTTAAAAATTTTACGTTTATTAATTTTTTTGTATTTATTCAAGTTTTTCGTTTAAAAATAATTGTACTTTTGGTCAAAAACTGCGAGCGAAGCTCAGTCGCGCAGGTACTAATTAATTATAGAGCAACAATACGTATAGTTACTGAGCACCCGCGCTTGTGCTATGGTTCAGCCTCTTTTTTAACATCCCACTGCTGGCACAATCTTCCTGTCAATGTGTGAAAAGATCAGGTTATAGTCCACCACGCTGACTAACTACTGCAGGTTCTATGCAATAACATTAACACTGGAATACCACTACCTTAGTCCTTATACAACTACTGCCTCCTACATATATAAATAAATACTTTACTCCATATATAAATAATACTCAAAATTTTTGTACTATAAGCAATATCAACTAATAATTGAGATCTTTTTAATTCTGATAGATGACCGTCTAATTAACATCAGATGGAATCCGAGGAGGCCCACTTTGGTGGGAGGCGTACTATGCGAGTTGCTCCTGGTACTTTTCTGATAGTGGAGTGGACTGCGGAAGCAACTCCATGGTTGTTTTTATCTGCCACGGCAGACCAATCTTCGGGGCGTCGTAGTTGAGTGTGTAAGTGACTCTGTGACACTCCATTAAGACGGGGATGGTTCCATTGGTTTTGCTGGTGAGTCCCACATAAAAACCTGTTTGTATGCAGGTGGAATGCGTAAATGCATTTTTCAACGTTAAAAAAGACGTCTATCTTGATAAGATGCAGTTTTTCAGAATATTGATTAACGGTTATTAGGTATCTTGAGAATAAAAATATCGCGCATGAAAATATTAAAGTCGGGACTTTGAACTCAGTTCATACTGTTATAAATCTTAGTAAGTCCAAAGTAAGTAGCAATTAAGAAAGAAAGTAAGTTGAACATGCTGTACTGAACTACAACTGCCATATCAGTTAAACATTTCCACTATTGTGGCAGAGCGTTGAAATTTTAAAAATTTTACTATACACATACATGTATAGATAACTTTAGTCACTTTTCATTAGCCCATTTCATCCCAGTTCAATGTAGACAATTCACTGAGAACGACAAAGGTAGTCGCCATCGAGGACGTCCAGTTTATATCGCACAAACACTTCCAGCATCCAGGAAATGAGATGTCGGTCAAAAGTATAATAAATCTTTCAAGATATTACAGAAGCGTGAACTTAATTTATAATACTGACGTTTTTAAAATAGAAAAATTCTTACTAACATGACATCAAATTTAATTAATTAATTATTTACACATAGCAGTCGATCATCGCTACAACTAGGTATAAGCTATTCGAAATATATCTAAGTATGTACCGTCATCTCAGTGCTTGTTTGTCCAAACGACCAATTTACCGAAAGAATTTTTTAATATAGAATTATTGACTTTTAAATATCAATTCTGTTGTTGAAAAAAAAATATTATCTATATATGTATGTAATCGTATAGAAATCTTAGAAATAAAGCTGTGTTTTTGAAATAGAGGAAAAAAACTCTGTACTGTAAAGTATAATAAGTTTTGGTCGTTTAAACAAATAAGCACTAAGGCGACGATATATGTATATATGTAAATGTCTCCAGCCATGGTTAATTGGCCATTCATTAGGCAACAGTCTGGATAATTGCCACTTCTAGCATATAGTATATATGGCGACAAAGCCGTCTTTGGAAACGCCCGATTGGAAATACATATTGAATCTCCTTGATATAAGTGGGAACTGGGATATGATAATGTGGTGCATATTTTACTAATATGATAAGATTTTTTTCATTTATTTTTTTAATAATTATATTATTTTATATACGAATAATTTATAAATAATGATGATGTGATGATGTTGTCCTATTATTCCCTCGTGGAACTTAGGGCTGCAGCAGTAGTTTTCCATGCCCTTCTATCCTTAGCTACTGCTTGGACATGGTTCCACGAGATTCCTACCCTTCTTAGGTCCGCCTCAATGGACCTCCTCCAGGTGTTAGTTGGTCGACCAGGTCTTCTTCTACCGGCAGGCTGCCATTGGAATGCTACTTGTGCAGTATTCCCTTCCTCTCTTCGCAAGATATGCCCGACCCAGCGCCATCGCCTTAGACCTATCTCCTTACATACTGGGAGTTGATGGCATACTTCCCACAGATCTTTGTTTCTGATAGTGTTAGGCCAGTGGATACGGAGAATAACCCTAAAACACTTATTGAGGAAGACCTGAATCCTGTGGATTAGCGACTTGGTTGTCTTCCATGTTTCACACCCGTATAAAAGGACTGACTTTACCAGAGAGTCAAATTTATAAATAATAATATTAATTAATTATTCGTATAACTAATTTATAAATATATTATTAAAGGTAGTGGTAGCCCAGTGGTAACGCGCTCGCTTGGGAAACCAAGTGAAGTGGCTCAAATCCCGAATCGCACCTCTGACATTATTACCACTCGTTTTACCGTGAAAGAAAACATCGTAAGGAAACCAGCATATCTGAGAGAACCTAGCAAGTTTTCAAAAGACATATTAAGTCCGCCACTTGGCCAGCGTGGTGGGCTATGGCCTGATCCTCCTTGCATTGAAAGGATGCCCGTACCCAGTAGTGGGACGTTAAAAAGTTCTGACCAACCAATTTATTAATAACACTTTTATTTAAAACCGATTTATTATATCTTTATATATTATATCTTTAAGGAAAATCATAGAGAATCGTATCACAATATTATGCTTTACCTGTCATGATAGGGATAATATAATATATACAAGCGGCTAAAATTTCAACCCACCTAGCCAATATTACCCTTTAAGAGATGGCCAGATTTGACAGGCTTCATAGAGGTACAAATATTGATTTCATACACTAAAATACAGGTTAATATTTGTATATTATTGGCCGTTATGCAATATAACTATTCGATAATGCGAATATTTCATTTATGATAACTTCTAAGGGTACGTAACATGCATAGTACGCTATGTTTCAAACTTAGATTGATATTTTGATAATAATAATTATATTCTAATTACTCGTTAATTAATGTTATGTTAACGAAACAAATTTACTTTAAACTCGTACATTCTAAGTTTCGCTGTTCTACGGAACTTCATGCTGTCACGCTACATATTTCGCATTATACATATATATACCTACTGTCTAACGTACAAGTCTTATGTCAAGAATATATGACCTTACATACCCATTTTTATATTGTATACTGTTAAAAAGGTTATCTTTACATATAAAGTCTTATTAAAATAGCCATTATTATCGGTCAAAGGCCAAATCTACAGTTTTGAAAATTTATGTTTGTTTGTCTGTCTGTCTGTTACCGCACTACAAAAACAAATTGAGGGCAAAAATGATCTGATAAACCGAGTCAATATATATGACTCTTTTTACTGCGGAAAATGCTTCATTGTCAAGGAAAAAATCAAAAACTGGGTAGAGTACTATCACGCCGAAAACATAAACATTTTAACTTAGGTATCGTACAAAATAAGGCACAAAATAATTCAAAACATCTTCTATTAAAAAATATTATTTCAAAAAGCAAAATTTTATTCGCAAAAATAATTCAATAACCAGTTAACTACGTGTTATTTAAATATTGGTCTTAGTGTTATTTAAAAAAATGTACCCATAAGTTTTAACTTAAATTTAAAAACAACCTTATCGGCTACCCCCGTTTTAACGCGTCCAAACAATAAAAAAATGTTTAGCTTTACTTAAATATAAGTGCTACTTTATAGCCAGAACGATTTTTAGAAAACAATGTAAAGAGAAATCGGGCAAATACGAGTCTAACTCATGCCACCAAAATATTATATTATTCTTTCTTACTTATACTTCTACGTACATATTATATTTTGGTTAGACTCACACAAAAATAAAATATTTACATATTAACAATAGGTATACTATAAAAATATATATAAATATATATATATATATATATATATATAGTATATAAACTGCCTCGGTGGTGTAGTGGCTAGCATGTACGGCTGCACACCCGGAGGTCCTGGGTTCGAGTCCCGGGTCGGGCCAAGTTTAGTTATTGAGTCTTCCTGTATAGTAAGTCTCAGTAACAGCCCGGAGTTGGGAAGTTGGCGGTGTTTCACCCCCGTGCCTCGGAGAGCACGTAAAGCCGTCGGTCCTGCGCCTAACTCTCACCGGTCGTGTCGAGTGGTCGTCCCACCGGAGTATGAGAGTGATAGGAATAGAGAGTGCACTTGTGTCTGCGCGTACACTTGTGCACTATAATATCTCCTGCGCAGTTGGCTAATCTCATTGAGATTGGCCGCCGTGGCCGTAATCGGCTAGAACATCATATAAACTATTTTTCCTTACACATTGTATTCAAGAGTAATAAGCCACGCATGCAGGCGGATCTATGTGCACTGTACGGACACACGCACAGGCACGCACACGCACAAACGCACGTAAATACGCACATACTCTCACACACGCACGTACACATACACACACACACACACACGCATTCGAAATATTTTCATTAAAGAATATTCAGTAAGTACATATTATTGAGTAAATAGAACTGTAGTAGGTATACATAAATAAATATAAGTTGTATCAGTGACTGCCTTTTACTTCAAGTGTTTACTTGCTAAGCAATATATTCTCCTCATTTGCATAGTATTAAGAGGATCGCATGAAAGTAGATCAAGGAGCTATGTAAAATTTTATAGTGAATTTTTTATACGATTTTCCGAATTGAAAGTTAAATAATTCCAAACCATAGGTGCAAAATTTTGACTTTTGCCCGACTCCAAAAGGGAGAAATTATTGCTTACAATTGAATTGTATTTATTATCTTTGTCAGTTATGAATCAATTTATATAATTCTTCTATTTTATAATATTTAACACTAGAAATTTAAAAATACAGAACAACAAAAGTTATAAATGGCCTAAATCTGCAAATCCGATAATAATTATGAACGGAACCTTCCATAATGCGAGTCAGACTTACGAGTACTCGTATATTTAAACGGAGGAAATAAATATGAATTCTTCCTTACTAATGCTATCTTCATATGGAGAATTTTTTTATTCTTCAAAAATGCTTAATGGCGTACCTGTGTCATTTTGTCTTGGCGTCCCTCCCAGGATAACGTTTCACTGTACCACGGTTCACCTTGAGTACCAAAGTACAAAGGTTCCCATCTGTGATAAGGATATTCTCTCCGGGCGATCAACATAGGCTGTAATAAAATCTTTATTAAAACACTACGTTAACAAAATGTGCATTTTAGTGGATAGATTTAGGTCATTTCTTTCGTTAAGTAGATAAAATAGGTTAGGCCTTTAGTAAATATTTATAATCTATACTAATATTATAAAGAGGTAAAGTTGTGAGTTTGTGATGTTGTAGGGGGTAATCTCTTGATCTACTGAACTGATTTAGATTCAATTTGATAAGAAGATGGTTTGAGATCCTGGGAAGGATAAAGGATACTTTTTATCCCGAATAGGAAAATATATTGACAATATCACTATGCATCCCACATTTAATCTATACATATAATCAAATTGTAACTAAGCCAAATCTGTACATTGAATATTTTTTGGAAATTTTTATTGAAATAGACTTTATTATCGATACAAAAGCCGAATCTATAGTTTTTAGAATTTTTGTCTGTCTTTCTGTCTGTCTGTTACCGCATCACGGAAAAACCACTGGAGGGATTTTGATGAAATTTGGTAAGATGATAGCTGGTTATCCGGGTCAACATATAGGATACTTTTTACCGCGGGAAAATATCACATTTCTGAGAAAAAAAACAAAAACTGCCATGTAAGAGTATACTAATATGTAAAACTTAAGAATTAGGTTTTTCTCATTTGAATGGGCGGAGCCGCGGGCCATTCTAATGTAATATAATAATAAAAATTGTATTAAACAATTTTATATTATATTTTTAGAAAATTTAATTTTCTTCTCACATACATAAAAAACCTTTTTGGGAAAATCATGGATTTCAATTATATCACTGTTACTTAAAATGATCGAACGAAGCCTCATATATCAAACAAATGATAATAGCCTAAAAGAAGATATATCAATGAAAAGGAAGGAAATATGATATACTCATTAATCCCTCCACGACCGCGGACACGCCGGAGTTACAGTTAACAATAGGTTTCTTAGAATTTTAATTAATTTCTTAAAAATTAACCTGGAGGTATTAATAAATATATCATACATTTCATATTCTCCGCTTCTCCGCCTACCAACTCATTCATGTCTCCGTTTTAAACCTATTCCTATGTTTCCATACGATAAGTACTTAGCATTCACTTGCGTCTTTGCATTGTATCCATCCATATTGTATCAAACATTTAAGATTAAACTATTATAGGTACATACAAAGTACTTATACAATCTGTACAAATAAATAAAATAATTGAAGTGTCTGTTTGTAATGTCAAAATAACAGCGTTTTATACTAAATGCATATGAAATTATAACGATACTTATAAGAAATATAAAATTTAATTTTTTTTGTCTGTCTGTCTGTTTGTACCGGATAATCTCTGAAACGGCTGGACTGATTTTGACGGGACTTTCACTAGACGATAGCTAATGTTATAGGAAGTAACATAGACTACTTTTATTTTAGAAAAAGAATTAGGGTTCCGCTCAAAAAAATTAAAACGCACCTCGAGACGAACTCGAGCGAAGCGAGGGTCGCTAGTTTTCGAAATAAAATACTATTGCTGTTAAATACACTTTGTACTTTTACGCGTTAGTTACCTATAACATAAATGATAGGGCTGCTGAAACGTACAGGGCGTACGTAAGTTTCCATTTCGTGTTCAAATACTTAGTACCTCTATGGGTAATGTTAAAATCTATGGGTTTTTCATTTTATGTGTATTAAAATTTACGTTATCAAAAACAATCAAAATAAATCTATATTTACGTTATTTAAATTCAATTTATTGAAGACTTTAAAAAACTAAACACCTACCTACCTACTTAATGACATTGACCAAGACCAAGCTTTAAAGATTTTTAAAATAATGTTAAGTGTTTTTTTTAATTTAATCCCTAATAAAAGTAAAATTTGTAACTATTTCGTACTTAATGAAAAATAACGAGGATAAAATTTCCTCCAATAAAAAAAGTTACAGAATAAACCAAAAGAATGTCGATTCGACCTATTTTCAGACAGCATTTACCGTCAAGTTTATTTTACCACAGTTTTATGTTTCTTGACTTTGATACAACACATTCAAGATGTTATTTTACTTAAGGCCTACTCAATTGCCATTTTGTTTAATCAAACTTTTCAAATAAGGGCATAATATGTCTTCAATTGTAATTTTAAGAACATTAAGGCAGTGGTAGCCTAGTGGTAACGCGCTCGCTTGTGAAACCGAGTGAAGCGGGTTCAAATCCCGGGTCTCGCACCCCTGATATTTTCATGTGCTAATCATTTCTAACTTGATTACCTTACTTGCCTTACAGTGAAGGAAAACATCGTGAGGAACCAGGCATGTCTGAGAAAACCTTACAAGTTTTCGAAAGAAATGTGAAGTCCGCCAATCCGCACTTGACCAGCGTTTTGGACTATAGCCATATTAAGGGCGGCCCGTGCCCAGCAGTGGGACGTTAAAAAATAATAACTCACTGTTAAACCGTTGTAGCATGCAAATCAAAACTACGTATTCAGAAATTGTGCCAGTCAAGTAAAAAAATATTTAAATAATTCTATTTGTCCGTCTTTATCGCCAAAATTATAATTAATAAACATTCCCTTGAACCTATTACCTAATTAATTTCATCATTTGGTATATTGTAATGATCAAAGTACGCTGTTTATTATCTTAAATTAATATTTGTATAAACCTATCTCTGTCTTTGCAAAGTTAAAGTACAAATTAATGTATGGGACTCGATTAGTAGTTAAAAGTTTTAGATAATATAACAATAGCACTGATCATATAATACTATACTAGACAATAGTAATTCAACTTTGGCTCTAAGTGGGGCAACTCTATCAGTTTAATTTGATAGACGTAACACTGAGTTAGGCGTCCCAATTGGATTTTGTAGAGGATCCGTTTCAGGTCAGGATCATTCATTACGTTGCCAGACTTAGAAATTCTCTGTCACAAATTTTAACATTCTACCATACAAGCATTATCATTAATCATCCCAAGCCATAGAAAATTAATAGCTTAGTGATATTTTTTTAAATTGAATACGTATTTTCAAAGTAAATTTATTTTAATTAAAAACACTTATTAAAACAACTAAAGAATATGAAAATAATAAGAAAAGTGAACGTACATCTTGGAGATGTAATACCTAGATTTTAATTTTTAATTAATTCAAGCATTATTTCGCATTAGATACTGAAACTTCTTATTTCACACATCACTTGCGAAAGTTCTTAGAAATAGTTACTAATTACAATTACTTTTAGTTCCTTCATTTTATTCTAGTTACCTACTTATAATATTATCATAATGTGAAGTATATATCGCATTTATCTTATCATTACTCGTTTCAGTCTCTGTTTCAGTTCTAAATCAATGTAGCATAAGTTTTTTTTTACATAATATGAATTATACATAATATTAAGAATGCATACCTCAATTCCTTTCGGTGTCGGTCGCAACAGCCACGATTGCAAGCCGGGAAATCGCTGACAATGTGCACACACCTTTTGATGGAAGTATTTTGCGCGATTTTCATTTACCAAACGTACTAACCTAATAAAAATTTTATAGTGTTAATACTTTCTTAGATTTACGCGAATGTTTGACATTTTTAAATAAAACTATCTTTTCGGATTATTTCGCGGATTTATTTTGATTTTTGGTTCCCGACGTTTATAGTGTTAATATAATATTATAACAAAAAAAATACTACTTATATGATTGTAAGAGTTATAAACATATATTTTAATATTTTTATGGATATACAATAAACATACGTTATTTAAAATAATATGTACGTAAATTGTTGTATTTAATATACATAATTATCTATATTAAAAGTTAAAATATTCGAAACCAGTCACATGCCACTTATAATAATGTTTATGGTGATATTATAAAATAATATAAAAATTAATTCAATAATTGCATTGTCCAAAATAAAGCACCTCCAATATGTTTAAACACAAAAATAATGTATTCATTTTCTTATCTATACATACATATAATAAAATTCTGAGTCGAATATGCACATTATTTTTTTTTAATCTTATTGAATCTAGTTATTAATATCAATTCAGAATCTATAGTTTTTAGAATTTTTGTCTGTCTGTCTGGGAACGCATCACGAGAAAATCACAGGACAGATGTTGATGAAATTTGCTATGATGATAGCTGGTTATCCGGTTCAAATTATAGAATACTTTTTACTGGGGGAAAACATCTCATCTCTAAGAAATCTATAGATTAAAACGTAACTAGTCGATAGTTTTATCTATATATTAATACGTGAACCAAATTTTTGTATCTTTTTTAAGAAAATTACGGGGACGGAGGAATGTGAAATTTGACACAGGTAAAGTTTATATGGAGATATAGTGTAGAAAGCTAATATTTGTATATAAAATACATTAGAAATACATTAAATTAATTAAAATAAACATTTTGTTTGTGAACCGAACTGTTTATTTTTTGTTTTGGTTTAATAGCTATTGACGAGCTTTAGTTTTATAAATAAAAAAAAACAACAATAATCATGGTCGAAGTTCGACCACTCGGCGAACTCTACTATAGTTCTATGATTACACAATTTTTTTGGGATAAATAAGTTATTAAAAATATCAATGTTGTCACATCGTCAATAGAAATATTTTATTCTATTTTGATCCTACAAAAAGGAAGATATAAATATTCTCTTATTTTCCGTACGAAAGATACCAAAATGTAACAAAATGAAACATTGTTGTTATCACTACACTAACAGTTACATTGTTCTATTGTTACATTCAAAGAGTACGTATAAATACTTGGAATTAGATTTCAGCAGGTGCACTTGTAAATTTAGAGCGATAAAAATGTGTTTTCTTTTAAAACTAATATGAAATAACGAACAGTTTTCCGTTTTAAAGATCATATTCTAAATATATATATATATATATATATATATATATATATATATATATATATATATATATATATATATATATAGAGTAAATGGAAAGACTTACATATCCTTATCTCGTGGTAAATCGACTCCTTTTTCTACTTCAAATAATGGGACCACAAAAACAGTTTTATAAAATATACTGCCTTCGTTTCGTTTCTTGTCACCCATTAGTTTCCTTATCATTGCTAAAAATTTATGAGCTAATCTATCACTTGGCACTAATTCTATATCTGACACAATAAAATAATTAGTTCTAGATGCATTCCTTGCGACATTTCTTCCCACATTTATTGGGTACACCATATTTTTATCTTGTCTAAAAGTGGGTACGTCAAGTACTTCTAATCCAGAACAGTCAGAAAAAAATAATTTTGGTGCTTCTAATTCTAATTGTGGTAATTTGGCCATCATTCTCTCTATCTTTCTCTTTCTAACCCAGTGTACATATTCTGCTCTCGTTTGATTTGTTAAATTTCTATATCTTTCTATTTTCTGCATCAAAATCTGTTCATTTGATATGTTTGCTGTGGTTGTTGGTATTTCTGTAGTGACTGGTAACAAACTAGGTATTCTTATTTTAGGTGGGTGACGTTTTGGGAAAAATAGATGTAGAGAAACTTTTGACATACCAGAATAACACCGACATAACTGATTGATAATTTGCATTGTTAAATCCATGTCATAATTTGGTACGAACACTGCCAAACTTATTGGTCCATCCCAATATCTTGCAATTTCTACAATATGATAAATGAATTCTGGTGTAGCTTGAGTGGCGTACGTCACTGCATTATATTTAGAATGATTTGCATAGGCCGTCCCTTGAATGGCGTCGTAAATTACCCTGTAAATGCTGCTGCTGCCTCCTTCTGGAGGGGGAAGTATTTGTATGTTCTCCCAATTTATTGTTTTTGGCAAGCCATAGTTGAAGTGACAATAACTTGAATTTACATTTGGTTGATGACCTCTTAAAAATGTTCCTGGTCTATACTCGAAGTCACCTACCCTTGTTGCAAAATGTGGAATATCTTGATGTTTGTAGGCGTAAAGTTGAAGTATTACAGTCAAGGTCAGTATGAATGAAGCAATGAGAAATATCGTTGAATGTTTTCGCGTCAGCCGATATGAGTACGCCCCACATATACGCAGGCATCTCGACATTTTTATCGTACATTGTCTTATTTTATAGAAATATTCAGTTTAACATCCTTTTTAGGATAATTAAGAATTTTGGCATACTACATCTCTTAGTATACATTTTTAAACAATTGTGGCAAATGTAACTTTTAGAATGAATTTGTTTTTCAGTTATTTATTTCTCTATCATAAGCCTTTAAATAAACATAATAATTTACCTTCACAGATCAAAACATGTCAAAATTACAAACACGAAGCACAGTAACCTACATCTCACATAACCAAACATTTATGAAGAGATACTTCGAGTTCACTATATATACGTCTCACAATCATATTTACAGCAAAAAGTTTAATTAAAAGCCACTTTTGTTAAATTATTTAAGCTTTCCCCAAAATTTGACAGTAAATTTTATTTTCTTAAGAAACCTCATTTTGACAACTGCGCGCGCTGCGGCGCGTTTCTATGCGCAAAACGTAGCAAGAAATCAATATTTTCAACATTATCAGTCGCTGTCAGATACTGTTGATTTTGTGAGAGTTGAGAAGATTTTCTCTAATAAAAAGCCAGAGATACAATGATTGTACAAGCTTTAAATCTAAAATATTAACTTAAATGCTCATAATTTTAAAATTTCACTACTAAAGTATACTACTTGTTCTCTATTAAATTTTTAGATTTTTCGATTTAATCTAATCGTTATAAGTATTAATCATCTAATTATTACCAAACATTCTATATATAAATTATAATGTCAACACAATTAAAAAAAGTTTGTAAGCCCGAAATATACTTTCCTTTCCACACGCGCACACACACACGGACACACACACATACACACACACACACAAACACACACACACGCGCACGCACATACACACACGCACACTCACACACAATACACAAACAAATATATGTACGCTAATTTTTATTTTTATTTTAATTTTTTATTTTTTTGTTTGTCTTAATTGATCTATTTAAGTTTGTAGTATCACCCATAATATTATAATCAGCTAAAAGATAAAATTACTTTTTTATGAAAGGGCGGGGTCTCCTAATACAGGCAAATTATTTGCTTAAAAGGGGATCTCAACCACAAAATTTGAAATTTTGATTAGATTTGAAATAAATAAATAAATAAATTTTAAATTAATCAATTAATTATATGTTAATTTTTATTTCAAATGTAAATGTATATTGTTATCTAATTTATAGTTGTTATTGTTGTTGTGTTATAATAAATAAATTATTATTATTATTATTATTATTATACTGGAATAAAACATTGAATCCTTGCCATATTACTGACAAACCGAACTGATAAACTTAATGTTAGTTCTACATAAATTATATAGCTCTACTCTGCAACGTTACATTGGAGTCTAAAAACACATTTTTGGCGAACATAATCTAATCACCGCCTTATTTTAATTAGTCTGCTCTGAACTGCCTTTACCACAGTTAATTAAATCTAAAGCCCCAGTAATTTAAACATATTAAATTTACCAAAATACTGCAAACTTTTTCGCTACTTATTCAAATGATTTCTACAAAATCCACAACGCTTTCAATCTGTATGGTGTTTGTAATTAATTTATCTTATAAAAAACATCTTCCTTCATAAATTCACCATGATTGAGACTTACGTGACCATATGCGTTGTAAAATACTGAAGGAACTAAAATCAAAATAAATACAGTCCTATGGCTTTTAGACAAATAATGACGAACAATACGTTCCCTGCTATCTACTGGTTCCTTTAAAGTTACATGGGTGAAATAAAAACTTTGACCTGTGCCAGAGGAAGTTCTTCATATTATATTAAACATAACTAAATTTTACGCTCCAAAAAATTTTAATTATAAGCGTAATGCTACACACACATTTGTTGTTTATTATTATTAGCATTTTATCATATAATAATAATAAAAAATAATTACTATTAATATTATAAGTGCCAAAGTGTGTTTTTTAGTTTGGCGTATAATATCAGGCCTAGGCATATTACATAGAGATAATTTGCTTGAGAGTAACTTTAACAACATAATTCTTTTCTCCGGTGACACGTCCTCGATTTCTGAAAGATACTTTGGAAAAAAATAGGGATTCTGTTTTTAATCTCTTAATTGAGCTTTAATTGTCACTAACAAAGACTGCTTATTCATAAAACAATAGAACAAAGAGACGTCGGAGATCAATTAGTACACTTCATAAGATTTGTTAATTTAACCGAGCATTTTCAAATGGCTTTTAACTATAGTGGAAAATTGTAATTGAGGGGAGCCGCCTCTGAGTGACAGACCACACGAACTTAATTTAAACTTTGTTTCTTTTCATGTATTTCCATTAACCTAATATGGATATGACTGAAACAATATTTGATGGAAACAATAGAATAGTGTGACACGATATGTCAATATTCAAGAGACCACAAAAATGGCATCAAGCTGACAGCGATAAGGATTTGTAATTCTATTTAATCCAAAGCTAATCAACACGACCATCGCTTTATATACGAGAGTGGAAAATGTCGAGATTGAGTTTAATTTTTGAAGTACATCCCCATTAAGCCACTTTATGTGCCGGGATAGGGTTTACTCTCAGCTGTTATTTATCCATGTGATTAACCTATTGCTCCGTCACTGTTTAGTAATAGTTAAAGTTAAAATCCTGAAAACGAATGGTTAACAGACGACCTTATTTCTAACAAATAAATTTGTCCTTTGTCAGCAAAGCAAATATTGCTTAAAGATGAAAAGTATTTTGTATAAAATAATATATGTATAAATCAATATATTCAATTGGATTTCAAAATAGTTTATGGTTAAGGTTACATTAAATAAAAAAATATATATTAAGTATTTGTTAATATTCCAACTAATATATGATATTAATTAATTAAATAAAAGTGTGAGAAATATACAGACTTTGCTGAAAAAAGCTGTCATAAATCAGGGTTGTTTTTTTTTTTCCCGGGGGAGAAGCTAACTCCTACCGGGCGTGTCCCCAGGTGGCGGATAGGGGAATGCCACCCGCTTAGGGCGGCGGGTGGTACCGGAGAAATCCGGCGCGGACCAAATGGCTTGGGTGGGGCCGCTCGTCTAGGCCTCGAGCCGAAGACGTTGCGGCCACCGGTGGTGGGACCGTTTGGTCCCACAACCGGATGATGGGTGCCGGTTGCGGGACTGTGGTCGCAGGCCCGCATCCGGCGGAGGAGTAGGCCGCGGCGGGAGAGGAGTGCCGGTATTTCGGTGCGCCGTTCTCCCTACCTTCCGCGGCCTAGACGGGGCCGCCACCGTTTGATGGCGGACGCGGTGGGGCTGCAGGGGAAGAGGAGTGTCGGTGTGTCGTTGCCGCTCTCCCTGTCCTCTGCAGCCGATTGGAGGTGGCCCACTTCGGTGGGCGGAGGTTAGGTTTAATGGGGCTGCTCCGGGTACCTCTCTGGCGTAGCAGAGTTGACTGTGGAGCAGCCCCATTGGTTTGGTGGTCTGCCTTTTTAGGCAGACCTGCCGCCGGGGCGCCGTAGTAGTTATGCGCAAGCGATCCTGCGGCGTCCCATTAAGGCGGAGGGGAGGGGAATGTCGGGTTTTAGTGGGTAGTACCGGCACTTCTAGCCGGTGAGCCCCACATCACCACCTGGGGGATCGGGTGGTATGCGTAAATGCATTTCCCGACATAAAAAAAAAAAAAAAAAAAAAAAAGGGTTGTTTTTTTTGTCCCCCCCAACGTGCGTTCACCTTGTCGTGGTGGGGGGGCTCAGTAGTGCCCGGCAATCCAACCGGGTGCGAAGCTAAGAAACGCACAGGGAGGTTGCCCACTCCAGTGGGCGGTGGGAGGTGGCCCTCTTCGGGGGGCGGTGTATCATGCGGGTTGCTCCTGGTACTTCTCTGATAGCAGAGTGGACTGTGGAGCAACCCCATGGTTGTGGTGGTCTGCTTTGGCAGACCTGCCGTCGGGGCGTCGTAGTTGAATGCGTAAGCGATCCTGCGACGCCCCATTAAGACGGGGGAAGGTTTTGTTGGGTTTTAGTGGGTAGTACTGGCTGTATTACGCCGGTGAGTCCCACACGTCGTGCGTAAATGCATTTCCCAACGTTAAAAAAAAAAAAAAAAAAAAAAAAAAAAAAAAAAAAAAAAAAAAAAAAGGGTTGTTTTTGAGATTCAAACATTGAACTCAGCAACTTTTGAAATTCCCATTTTTAATATTTTTACCCTTTGTATAAGAAGACTGGTAATGATGCCAATTTAAAACTTGATGTACAAGTAAATCGATTCCTTGACGATAACTTATTACTTAGCACATTCTTAAGAAATGCCTGATAAAAAAAACAAACTCTAAAAGTGAATCTGTTGAAACATCTCTTCTTCTTCGTGTACTTCATTGCTGAAGGTCGTGCTTGTCCTGGAATGTTTGCACCGATTTGTTGGCTATCTTTCTCCACACCACTCTATCCTCGGCTTGTCTCAGGGCAGTCGGAATATTGAGTCCCGTTATATTTGAAATCTGGTCGGACCAGCGGGTAGGTGCTCGACCGCGTGATCTTTTGCCTTCAATCTTCCCTACTACAACCAGTTTATCCAGATTGTCTGGTTGTCTCCGGGCGATGTGACCAAAGTAACTTAGGACTCGTTGGTAGCATATAGTGGATAGTCTGGCAGTAATCTTCAGTTGGTCGAGAATAGACCTGTTGGTTCTTTTTGCTGTCCACGGTATACGCAACATTCTTCTGTAACACCACATTTCAAAAGTCTCGATCTTCTTTCGGTCAGCTGTACGGATTGACCATGATTCGGAACCGTACAGAAATATGGAGAACACCAAAGCTCGCACGAGTCTGGTCTTGGTGGTATTCGACACTTTCCTGTTTTGCCAGATTCTGGTTAACTTACTCATAGCTGCCTTGGCCATCTGCGTACGTCTCCGAATTTCTTTGTCACAGCCTCCCTGATTGCTTATAAGTGATCCCAGGTACACAAACTCATCTACAAATTCCAGGTCCGCCAGTTCTCCGGTTCGTGCAAAAGTTCCAGCTCGATCTACTACCATGATTTTCGTTTTTTTCTTATTAATGGAAAGACCGACCATCTCACTTGCACGCTCGACTCTTCTAAGTAGTTCAGCCATTTCCTGTTCTGAAGAAGCCAATAGCGTAGTGTCATCGGCGTATCGGAGATTACTGATCTTGTTGCCTCCAACGGAAATGCCTCCATCCCACTCATCTAGCGCTGTCCTTATGATATACTCGCCGTAGATGTTAAAAAGAAGAGGGGATATGATGCATCCCTGTCGTACTCCTTTTTGTGGTTTGAAAGGAGCGGATACCACGTCGTTCACTCTTACCATTGACTTCCCATTCTCATATAGGTTTGCGAGCAGTGCTATTAAATGCTTAGGAACACCCATTTCTAGGAGGATTCTCCATAGACAATCCCACCTCACGCAATCAAACGCCTTGGAGTAATCAACAAAACACATAATTATCGGAACATTAAATTCCCGGCTCTTCTCTATGAGTTGTCTAATGTTGACAATTTGCTCCCGAGTTCCACGGCCCTTGACAAAGCCAGCCTGCTCATTAGGTATTTGCCGCTGTAGGTAGGGTTGTAAGCGTCCATTAATTATGTGAAGCATGATCTTACTACCATGTGATATGAGGGCCACTGTTCGATAGTTTTCGCAAATCTTTGTTGAGCCTTTCTTGTGCAGTGGTATCAAAAGTGACTCCGTCCAGTCCTTGGGCCATTTTCCCGAGCTCCAGATCTGATTACACAGGTCCTTAAAGATCTTGACACCTGTGTCTCCTAAGTTTTTCAGTTCTTCAGCGAATATACTGTCTCTTCCGGCTGATTTATTTGTTTTAATTTTTCTAAGAGCTTCCCTGACTTCAGATTCCAGTATTTCAGGCTCTAGGTTTTCGTCCATGCTGAATGGCTCAGAGGATCCCCTGTCGTCCTTGTACAGGCTTTGGCAATATGACCGCCATCTTTCTGTAACCTGGTCAATCTCCGTCAGTAGTGTACCCTTACTATCTTGGATCGCCCAAGTTTTGGGTCTAAACTCTCGTGTGATGCTTTTCACTCGTAGAAACAGGTCTTTGGTGTGCAGAGTCCTAGCATGGTCCTCAATATCTTCACATATCGAGTTCAGATATTGGTTGTAGTCTCTACGGCATAAGCATTGAACCCGCGCTGATATGGTGTTATACTGAGCTTTCTCAGAGTCTCTTCTGGTTAGGAGGTCTTTTCTTTCATTAATCGCCTTCCACGTTTCTTCTGATATCCACGCCTTTCTTGAACTACAATAGTTTTGCTGTTGGATGTCTTTTCGTGTGTCGAGAATAATGTCCTTTATTGTAGTCCACTTCATATCTATGTCGATGCTGTTATCTAACTTTAGGTGTGTGACTTTGTTGTTAAAGACTTCTTCATAGGTGTTAAGTGTTTCTGGAGAAGGTCGACCATGATTTTTGACTAGGCTTCTCACGCATTTCTTGAGCTTTACTTTCATGACTGCCACCAATAATTTGTGATCGCTTCCGCAGTCAGCTCCGGGGTACGTTTTTGTATTAATTATACTGGACCTCCATCGCTTTGCAATAGCAATATAGTCAATTTGGTTTCTGGCACGTTCACCTGGCATAGCCCAAGTATATAGCCGTCGTGGGTGGTTCTGGAAACAAGTATTCATGATAGACAGAGAGTTTTCCGCGCAAAATTGCAGCCACATCTCACCTCTATCATTTCTATCTCCGAGACCATATTTCCCAACAACTTCTCTTAGATGATCTTCCTGTCTTGTTGATCCTACTTTTGCATTAAGATCTCCCATCAAAAGTGTAATCTCCCTTCTGGGTAGGTTCCTAAGGGTGTCCTCCAACATTCTGTAGAAGTCCTGAATCTCTTCTTCTGTTGAACCCGATGTTGGGGCATATACAACCACCAGATTTAGACGACATGGTTTTGTGTTAACTTTCATGGTGATTATCCGATCACTCACTGGGTGGTATCCCAGCACAGATTGATTGATGTAAGGTGATACACAAATAGCAACTCCATTTCTGCTTTCATTTTCCGGGCCTGAAAAATATAGAGTGTGGCCTGACGGGATAGTGTAAAAGCCTGACCCTCTCTTGTGTGTTTCAGTTATTCCAAGAACTTCCAGTTGGTAGTGCAGTTGTTCTTTACCTATAATATCCACTTTCCCTGGTTCCAGTATACCTCTGACATTCCATGTCCCAATCCTAATCTTCTTGCGAAGTTGAGGGTGTTTAGCTGTGGTTGGTGTGAATTGAGACGATGTGTTGATGTCACCAGTAGCATGCTTAACACACTGAGCCTGATGAGTCACTTCAGTGGAACCAGTAGCATACTTCACACCATGCGACCTGGAATCGACATGGCGCCGGGTGGTAGCCGGATCGCATGCCATCGTCCTCTCAGTATCAAACATATTTCATGACAAGTTTCATGGGAGAATAGTGCAGTGGTTTCCCCTTGCCTTCTGCACCGCAGTGATATTATGTTTTTATCAGGAACGCCCTGCTGCCAGCGCCCTTCATCCAGACTGAGTGATCTATTGGGTCCGGACCCCCTGTCTCCCAGCTGCTTGTCGACCTATATCTCCATAGGGGTTGGTTACCGCTATCTCGATGATAGGTTGCTCGACGTAACAGGGTTCGCCGCGAGTAGGCTGGGAGTGGAGTTGGTGAAGAGAGGCTAAGTGACTGCTCTTGAACACAGGTCATGTATTGCGCATCATCCACCCTTGAACCCCTACCAACGTATCAACCCCTGTTGAAACATAAAGGAAAACAAAAATATGTTATATGGAAATGTGAACATTCAATTATTTTTTTTGCAGGTTCATACTAACATCATCCCAAGGTTTGTTGTTAGCCGCAAAACATTCAGCGTCACAACTCAGTCGAACTCATTGAAAAGCGACACAGAACTTACGTTTATTTCATCGCTACTCGACATTGACATGAAAAGTAAATTGGAAGTTTTATTTCGCTGGAATGAAAATTTAAGTACAACAAAACATTTACAGGTGTTCTTTCTCCCAGACATCATGAAATGTTATTATACGCTAGAAAAATTGCTTAGGTACTAGGTATATAACATTGTTTGATGAAAGAATAAGTTTTTATTACATAAAGCCGGAATGATGTTGACATATTTATTTAGTAAAATCTTAATTGTATTAAAGTTTTAATCATTATATTCTCTATAGAGACCTTTTCATTACCTCTTCTCTTCACGATAAATAACAAATATTATTATAAATGAAATTAAAAAAAAACATATTTTATCTTAATCCTCATATAAATTTATAATGATGGCGTAAAATATTTATTTTATAATTAAAAAAACGAGATGCAAAATTTTCCCAATTATCAAAATTAACGCTATCTGCAATTTTAAACTTTTTACGTTCGAGATAAATGTCTTTTTATTACTAACTATTATAAAAAAAACATAAAAAATGATTTCGCTGTGATTTGCATTAGTAAATATCTTATTTGTAAAAGCAGTTTTTAAAATTGGCAAGTCTTCAAAGGCGTTTCAGACCACAGCTTTTGCAATTTCTGGTAGTCAGGGGGTTAACCCCATTTTCCTAAAAGTTCGGCGCTTTGATGTTCCGCATCCGATATACTCGAGTTTGTTCCGGAAGTCGATAGTTTTAAGTTTTAGCACGCTATCATACTGCAAGCTTAAAGAACAGTCTCTTGCAGATTTTCAACGAAAGCGTAATATTATGGAAACAAATAGGAATAAATTTAATAAAAACTTTAGGTTTGTGGAACCATTATATAAAAAAACTAAAGTAAGCAATCGCGGTAATGTTGAAAAAACAGTTCCGTGCCATGATAGGACGGTAAAACTATATGGCGATGATTTTAATGTCAAAACGGTGGTTACTCAAAACGGTGCTAATGTGACAAATGTTAAACGTAAAATAAGTAAAGAATACACAGTTATTTTACCTGGTGCATGTGAAAATAAAATAAGTGTTGAGGATTTTGAACGTTATAATCGAGTAGACTTTGCTAAAAACCTTAGAAAGCAAAATAGCCGGAGCAAGTTAAATACGAATTCAAAAGTGCATTATAATACAATGTTAGGAAATAGTAATAATTATATAGAAAAAGTGAAAAATTTAGATACCAATATAATAAATGATGACGACAAAGACGACGAATGTGTCATAGTGCATAAGGTATTTTATTACGGCTAAAACGTGCACATATATTAGGTATAAGTTAATTCTCTAATATATGCTATTAATTTTTAGATTCCCGATTCATGGTTGAGAGTATATCCAGCCCCGAAATTATCTGAAGAACCTCTGTATTCTGTTATAGTGAGATGCATCTTGTGCCAATTAGGGCTTGCAACATTTTTAATAATTTGGACTGTCATTGCAATTTTCATAGTACAATCTTTTGAAGGTATGTACTGTTTTGTTAATAAATTTTATAATGAAATTAGGTGCTTTTGGTATTTATTATATTAGTAGGGATTCGCCCTCGCACCGCTCGGGTTCCGTTCTAGATACGTTGGTAGTATTACCTAGATTTCTCAGAGATGAGATATTTTCCCGCAGTAAAAATTATCCTATCCTATGTTGACCGGTTATTAGCTATCATCATACCAAATTTCATCAAAATCCCTCCAGATATTTTTCCGTGATGCGATCAGAGACAGACAGACAGAAATTCTAAAACCTATAGGTTCAGGCTCTGTATCGATAATAACGACTATTTCAATAAGCTATTCCAAATAATATTCACTGTACATATTCGATTCAGTTAGAATTTTATTATATGTACAGATATACATCCAGCGCCATCTTTTGGCAAATTGTATTACTAAGAAGCTTATGTATTAACCGGATCACAATTTATCTGTGTACTAAATTTCATTAGAATCGGTCCAGCCAATACAAGAAGTAACAAACAAACAAACAAACAAACAAACAAACAAACAAACAAACAAACAAACCACATACATACATACATACAAACTTTTCCATTTAAAATATTAATGTCACATATTATAATGTTGATCTTCATTGTATGAAATCTAATGTATCTAGGACCTCAGGAAGCTAAAGTATCCTTGGAGTTCGAAAAAGAACAGAGTCAATTAGTCATCGACCTCGCTACAGAACTTAGACAGGTAATAGTCATTTATTCATTTTATTAATTCTAATAAAGATACTTCAGCAATTAATATTGTACTATATATCCTTAATACAAAGCTATAATACAAGTGACTGTAAGAAGGAAAATCAATTCACCCTCGAGTTTCGTTTAAAGAAAATTGTCATTTCAATTCTGTATTTATGGCCTTACTAGCAGAACCCGCGGCTTCGCTCGCGGTAAAACTACAAAAAAATCTTATCAAAACTTTCACTCCTATTTTACCCCCCTATGGAAAGTATTTCGAAACAAGCTAAAACACGTATTTATTTAATTGTATTAATACCGAGCATTAATACCAAGTCTCAAATAATTCTGATCATAAATAATTTTTGTGTTGTATTATAACGCATTTTCCCGTGGGAATCGGATAATCACCCGCGATAAAAAGTAGCTTATGTTACTGTTCAGGCCCTCAACTATCTCTACACAAAAAATCACGCTAATCCATCACTTCTTTTCAACTTGAAAGAAGGACAGACAAACAAACACACTTTCACATTTATAATATTAGAATGTATATGCATATCACATATGTTTTACCAGTTTAAAATAGAAAACCGTAAAATTTTAAAATTTTAGTTAAAATTCCTTAGAAAAGTTCTTTATAGTAAATGCAAGCGTATTTCGATTTGCAACATGTAGGGTATGATAAACTCCGTTATAATAAAACACTGCCGGTACTGTTCATTATCGATTTATTCACAGTCACCCAATTTACAATAATCAGGAGCCAACTATGCTTGACAAAATCAGAACGAAGAGTGACCCCCCACTGACGACATCATGGGTTTTTATAATACTCGTTTTATGTCAAAACAGCAACTAAAGTGTCAAGCATAGTTTTTACAAAATCCAATTGAAATACTTATTAAAATAGAAATTTAATATAATCTAACATTAAAATATAAAATTAAGCTAACAGTTCGGCCATCCTATAATCAACGAGTCCCTTCGTTAATAAAATTATACAGTATAATATATTAATAACATAAGAGGACAACGATAATAATTAACTATATTCAAAAATAATTTGCATAATAAATTATTATAGATAGAATAATCTCGGCCATCTTGCAATTAATAATCCCAATACATTACATTATTTAATTTTAATATATATTTTTTTATGAAATAAAATAATTTAAATATAATATATAAAATAAATAATTTATTAAATGAAATGCCTTAAAATAACTATAAAAATTAATATCAATTTCCTTTTTATTTCACAGAATACATCAAATCTGTTGCACTCCTTAGTTGGCTTATCGGCCTCATGTGCAAACAGATTATATATCATGCGAGCTTGGTACACTCATAGTTGACCTATCGGTCTCATGTGCACCAAACTCTATCATTATCCATATCCAGTTCCCAAGTCCAGTCCATTTCCAATGTCATTGTTAATTCATATCTTATTTATCATTACCATCGACATTACTATCAATTACTTCATTATCTAATTCATTATTAAATTTTCCTTGTAAACGTTTACAATTGGGAGCCGAATGACCTAGGCGTTTACATATTGTGCAAGTTATCAAAGGCTTTAAACATTTAAAACTAGGATGTCCTTCTTCACCACAGTTAAAACATTTTATTTCAAATGATCGCGTTTTAACAACATTATTTGTGAAGTTTTTACTTGCAACTATTCTTTTATCTTTGTTGTCATCAAATTTGTGAATGATTGATTTGAAGTAAGCTAGCAAATCTTCTGGTACTGAGAATTTTGCGGCTTGGGCCCTTAATCGTGTACTACGGTCATCTATTGCGGCAATTATACAATCTATTGCTTTCTTTCCATAAATTTCACATCTATTTAATAAATTAATTTTGTGATAAAAATACGTTTCTAATGATTCATTATACTTTGGTTTCCTATCCAACATTTCATGTAAAAGATGTGCATAGTTTTGAACGGTTGGAAAGGCTTTATGTAATTTTTCTTTCCATTCATTCCTAGTATAATTTACCGAAGGTAGACCCTGGTACCAAACTTTAGCTACCCCAGTTAATTTAGGCAGACTATAATGAAGTAATTGAGTTTCCGACCAATTATATAATTTACAACATTCTTCTACTTTAATTAACCATGTGTCTATTGTTTGTTCTTTGTTCGCGGGATCAAATTCAGGAATTGCGTTTGACGTCATCGAAAAATGATTTTGTGACGACGTTGAAGGTAATGCCTTGGTTAAACTTATTATTTCTTGCGCAGTAAATGTCGGTTCTACTTTGTCGGTCCTAGTGTCAAGTTGTGGTGTAGTATTTCTCGAAAAATTGGGGCGTCTAAACTCAAGTTCCTCTTCACTATTAGTATCCGAAGTCTCACTTACCAGGACTCGTCTTCGTTTCCTGTGATGTAGAACACCCAAAGATCGTCGACTTGTGGAGCTGGCTTCAAAAGGAGTCCTCGAAGTTCGCAGATGTGATCTCGAACGATGTCTGCTAGGAGAACGTGTTCTTCTAGCCACATCTTGCTCAATCAAGTCACGGCGGCGTGATGTAGATTCTCGATTACGTCTCGATTGACGACGATAATCGCTGCTTCTGTCACTCATTATCTGAAACTTTTACCTATTTGTCTTAGTTCATATGTTATTTTAAATAGTCAATTACCCTATTTAAGTCGATACTTAGGTAATTAAATTATGCAAAATAATATTAAAATATTATTTAAAAAAAATATATTTCATATAATGCTGTCAACATTTAAACACAAATGTGTTTTAACTAACAAATCACAAAAATAATTAAATAAATATATAGTAATATTTTAAACATAATAAATAAAAATTATACTGACCTGCTATATATATTTTTTTTGAACGTAGAGAACATCCCACTTCTGAACTGATAAACTCCGTTATAATAAAACACTGCCGGTACTGTTCATTATCGATTTATTCACAGTCACCCAATTTACAATAATCAGGAGCCAACTATGCTTGACAAAATCAGAACGAAGAGTGACCCCCCACTGACGACATCATGGGTTTTTATAATACTCGTTTTATGTCAAAACAGCAACTAAAGTGTCAAGCATAGTTCTTACAAAATCCAATTGAAATACTTATTAAAATAGAAATTTAATATAATCTAACATTAAAATATAAAATTAAGCTAACAGGTAGGTACTTTAGTTTGTGATACTTTTGCAGTAACATGAATATATTTAAGCCGAGTATACATATGTGAAGGTTTCATAAACTCATTTAAACATTGAGTGCTCCCCGTGAATTGACATAAAATAACTTTTTAGTGAACACATGCCTGAATTACATTAAAACGCCGTAATATTTTATATAACTACTTTGTTTAACTCTCTCTTTTTCTCTCTCTCTCTCTTTCTCTCCCACACACATTTTCTCTTAACATACGATAAAGTAATGTGTATTCAATATTCACCTTCGGTATATATCTTATTTTTTGGATCGCTATCGATTGATAACGCAAAGCACTGTATATTAGAAAACAATGTTCCTGAATAAGTTGAATATACACTTACAAATTGGAAAAAGACAGTTTACGCTAAACAACCACCAATCTTCTACAAATATTATTATTTCTTTGTATGAGTGACGTATAAAAGGAGTACATATATCAACAATGCGGTCCCTCCATAAAAGAAAAATAAAGATTTTTATACTATTTGTAGATCTTAGTGAAGAGAAATAATCATGAAAATCGATTCTCCAATGACTAAAACAAATCTATGTAACTTAAACAAAAACATACACTCAAAATGAGTAATTCCTATTTTTTTTTTAAATCGATCATTAAACATATTACGCCGATTATTACACAACTACTGAATATAATAGAGAAGACCACATTTCCTCGACAATCTCAAGCGTCTACCGTCCTCTGACATCTGGGCTATTTCCTACCAATTATTTATAACCAAGCACCGGATGATGGGAAATTGCACGTTTGCTGTTCCATATCCCTATTTATCACTTTGAACTAAAGGTTAAATTTCCTTGCACCATACTCTAGAGGCTCGAATTGCTTTAATTGCTGCGGTTCAATAACTAAGCTTGTCTTGTTCCGGCATGTTTCAATCTTACCTTAAAATCATTTTAAGAATTTTGTGAAGATTTTACAGTTATCTTGGTAAATTTTATTTACCTTAGTAGTTCAATCAACTAGTAAAGGTTATTACTATGTATTATTAATATTAGGTATATAATTTGAACTACCTAGCTAGCATGTACGGCTGCAGATCCAGAGGTCCTGGGTTCGAGTCTAAAGGCGGATCAATTTTAGTTATTGAGTCTTTCTGTTAAGAAAGTTTTAAGTAACAGCCCGGAGTTGAAAGGCAGTATTTTACTCCCGTACCTCAGAGAGCACGTAAAAAGCCGTCGGTCCTGTGCCTGATCCACCGGTTGTTTCGAATTGTCGTCCCACCGGAATATGAGAGTGGCATGAATAGAGTCTGCGCGTACACTTGTGTATTATAATATCCCCTGCGTGGTTGGCTAGTTTTAGTAAGATTGGCGCCGTTGCCGAATCGGTCAGTGGGGCATCTTCATCATAATTTGAATTAGTATTATAAGTACTAAAATTCAGGTAACAAACTCAGTCTAGCACGTCTCGGCTCCATCGACCATCAGTACATTTGTAGACATAACCGGCGCACTTCTACTTCAGCGAGCTAATTCTGCGTGCGATGTCTGTTACTGTAGTTTCATGTTGATTGCATGTTCTTTATCATAAGGGGTAAAAGACAACGAAGGAAGAAAACGGCAAGTTTTCCGCTTTCTAAGCATATGTAAAAAGAGAGACTACACCTAACCCAACTAAACTCACACCCATGTAACATGGACAAAGGTTATTTATTTGTTTGTTTAAAATAAATACTTTATTTATATTATTTGTTTAAAATTACGCAATTCAATTTAGAACGCTTAAAGATTAATCATAATCTATCACATCTCCCGGCAATATAATTTTTCTAAATACGATTCA